TGGGAGCTCTGGCCCTGGGATAGTCCTTGAGAGTTGTCCCAAGTCACAGAGAGGGCCAGAGCCTTTTCATCCCTACACTGATCAGTCATTGGATGGGGGAGTTATGCCTTTAAATCCATCTCCAGGAAAATGGCAGTAATAGGAGCTCTGTGGACTTGCTCTCCAGTGAAAGTACAACTGGCGAGAATTTTTTTTAAATACCATTTAAAGTTTCTTGAAATTGAAGAGAATACAGCAGATGAAGAAATTTTTATTCAAGAAAATATACTAAATCTTGTTAAGAACATCAGGAGTTAGTGACCCTTGAAACGGGATCTGCTGCCTCTCCCATCCTGCTCAGTATGACAGAAGCTCACCTCCCTCTAAGGGGCTCCCTCTTTTGCTAGATCCCAGTAAAGGGCTATGTCATCTCTCTGGGAGGGCCAGGCTGCTAGCATTTCTCATCTTTAGAATCATGTTGCAAAAGCTAAATTTCAGGTAAGTATGGCCTAGAGATTGGGGAGATTGCGAACCCCTTTCCTTTCAGGCACCATTCATTGGACAGAGGCTCTATCCCAGGTGCAGCAGTCCAAAAGTGCTGTGATCCCAATCACTTTCACCCCAGCTCACATGTAAACTGGGAAGTTCCATGCCAGCAGAAGCAGCCTGAGAAGAATAGAAACTGCCTCCTCCCAGAGCCCTGCTCCTAAAGCAGAGGTATCATTCTGAGAGAAGTGGGCCATTGTCCCCATCCTCAGCTCCACAGCAGTGTCTCAGAGATTTTGCCCAGGGGGAGAGAAAATCCATTAGAATGGAGAACTCAGAAGCTCTCCCAAAAGAAAGGGCTTTATTTGGAAGAGTGTGAGAAAATTCAAACTCAAAGGTGTCTTGAAAACAACGGATATTTTGGTAATTATTTTGGTAAATAATTAAGAGGAGGCTGGTAGCTCCATGGCAGCAACAAGTTAAACTGCAGGCTAACTAGTTTACCAGAGAAATCCAGGGAAAGAGACAACTAAGAGGAGCCCTCTTGGGATCAGAACAAACCTCAAAGACTACCTCTAAAGGAGCCTAAATGTGATTGGATTAGACTCTGGAGCAATTCATGCCTCAGCACACTCAAAAACAGTGGAGCAATCAATAGGCAATTGGGGTAGCCTAATAGCTGGGTGTGATACCAACAGAGTCAGGCTCTTTAACAGAGAGCTCTGGAAAAGAGACAGCCAAAGAAAGCCTTGGTAAAACCACTGTGATCCCAGGCAAGTGTGTGCATAGCCAGGGCTGTACCCTCTGAAGAGCTACTTAGGCTCTTAAGTGGCCTTAAGAGGGAAATGGACTTCACTAAAATAGTCTAATCAGGTAAGTAAACAAATAAAGAAAGAAACCACAAAAACAGCAAGCCCCATGGGAAAGGGGGAGCAACAGGTATTCAGAATTGCTGCAATAAATTATATATACTAACAGTAATGTAAATATTCTGGCATCGTAACAACAGGTACAGAGCCACACAATTGTGTATTGGCTTCAGTTAGCCCTGCACACTTAGTATGTGACAGAAGTGACTTTTTAAATTTTTTTTTTTTTTAACGTTTATTATTTTTGGGACAGAGAGAGACAGAGCATGAACGGGGGAGGGGCAGAGAGAGAGGGAGACACAGAATCGGAAACAGGCTCCAGGCTCCGAGCCATCAGCCCAGAGCCTGACGCGGGGCTCGAACTCACAGAGCGCGAGATCGTGACCTGGCTGAAGTCGGACGCTTAACCGACTGCGCCACCCAGGCGCCCCTATACATGCATATATATATATTTATATATATATGCAAAAAAAAGTGAAATTGGATCCTTAACCCATACCATACATAGAAATCATTTTTATTTTTATTTTTTAACGTTTATTTATTTTTGAGACAGGAAGAGACAGAGCATGAACAGGGGAGGGTCAGAGAGAGGGAGACACAGAATCTGAAGCAGGCTCCAGGCTATGAGCTGTCAGCACAGAGCCCGACGCGGGGCTAGAACTCACAAACTGCGAGATCATGACCTGAGCTGAAGTCGGCCGCTTAACCGACTGAGCCACCCAGGCACCCTAGAAATCATTTTTAGATGGATACAGTGAATTAACAGTGAAAGGCAATACTTTAAGACTTTTGATAGAAAATTGTGGCAGCAATGTTGGCAGTTCGACAAAGATTAAGTACCTCTTCCACAGATTGGAGTTGTGAGGAAGAGTTTGCCCAGTTAGGGACAACATTTCTCAGGTCTCTTTGCCTCTGGGAGGGCCCATGTGACTAACTTTTGGCCAACGGGATATGGACTGAAATGGTGTACCCCAGTGCTTCTCAAACTATCTGTGGTAATGGACAATTTCTCTCCAATTGTGGACCAGTGCTTTTGTAAATGGAAAAAAGAAATAAATTACCAGAAGACTGAGATTTAAAAAGTCATGTCGTATGCAGTCCTACTTTTTATTATTAGATTTAACAGACATAAAATTACTTTGCCAGATTGCTAGTAAGCGTTTGCAAATACTTATTCTTAATTTCTGTACTAAAGAGTGATGGAGAGGTAATAGTTTGTAGACCAGCAGAGGTCAGCAGACCACCTTTGAGGGTGTACCACTTCCAGGCATGGCCCATAAAGTCTCTCATGCAGTCTTTCACATCCTCTTTCTTTCCCTGTCTACAGACTAGATGTCAGGGCTCAGCGTGCTCTTGAAAACCAATGACTGAAGACAGCAGAGGCTTCATTAGTCTGGGTCCCTGGATGACTTCTTGGTGCAGAACCCTTCCCATCCCAACTTGCCATTAATTGAATTTAATGGGAAAGAAAAATAAATTTCATTTATGTTAAGCCACTGAGCATTTAAGGTCTATTAAGTTACACTATTGGTATTCCCTATAATGAAATATAGAGAACATATGTATCGACAAAAGTCCTTATTGGAAAAGATTTAAAAATTGACTACAGTAAAAATAAGAATTTCTGTGTATCAAATATCACCATAAAGATAGTAAACAAAAATAAGTCAGACTGGGGAAAGATATTTATAATACATATAACAAACACCAGTTTAAGATCCAGAATATATAAGGTGATCCTACAGATCAGTATGAAAAAGGCAAACAACCCAATTGAAACATGGACAAAACATATGAACAGGCATTTCATAGTAGAGGGAACAGGAAGAAGATTAGAATTTAAGAAGATGCACAACCATTAATAATCACAGAAATGAATGTTAACAGCACAATTAGGTATCAAGTTTCTGAGATGATATGGCTGAATTTGGAACTGCCATACACAGATATTGAAGTGACAATCCGTTCAACCACTCTAGAAAAACAATTTGACGTTATCTTTTAAAGTTTTACACTTGCACCCATTATCATCCAACATTTCTACATATATATACATATATACGTGTGTATATGTGTATATATGTATATATATACATATATATATATACACATATATATACTGCTGTAATGTGTAAGTAGAATTGCCATATTTGACAAAGAAAAATAAAGGACGTCCTTTAAAATACAGTTAAACTGTATTTAAGATAAACAAGGAATAACTTTTAAATATTTATTTATTTTTGAGAAGGAGCACAAGTGCGGTAGGAGCAGAGAGAGAGAGAAGGAGACAGAATCTGAAGCAGGCTCCAGGCCCTGAGCTGTCAGTACAGAACCCAACAAGGGGCTTGAACCCACAAACTATGAGATCATGACCTCAGCTGAAGTCGGTTGCAAAAGAATGAGAAGCAAAACAAGGTAGTTGTTACCATGGTAGTGGTAAAGGCAGAGGAATAAATTAGGGGAGGAGTTCACAGATGAATGTGACAGACTTGTTCCTGTTCCTGTTCCTCCACAGGTAGAAGGTACACAAATGTTCACTTCATTGTTATGCTTATCTTAGACATGTTACATAAGGTTTTCTGTATACATAAATATTACATAAATTTTTTAAAAAAGATCAATGATCAGGAAAGTTAAGTGAGTTGAACCTCCATCTACAGATGGTCTAATGCTTTCCATTATATTGGCATACCACTCCTAAAGAATAAAAATAGCATGCCCTGCAATCTGAAAATGGTGAGAAGTCCAGCATACTACTCCATATCTAGCTCCAGGGAGTAAGAGGTGGAGCATACACAGAGTGCCAATTAAGCCAAATAATCGATAAATACGTACTTTCTGCCAAGTACTAGGCCAGATTATTATGAACATAGGGGTGTGAGCGGCTGTGGGGTGATGTTCACAAGTTTCTCAATTTGTGGTTGCAGAAGACTGCAATGGTTACAACGAGAGACACACATTGAACACTATACTATGTGGTTGTAAACTATGAGAGAATAAGTGGAGTTCACTTCCTAGTAAAAGGTCTTCTTTAGATCCTGTTTCCACGAAGAATTGGGTGGAAGACGGGACCTGTTCTTGCCGAACTATAAAAGTTGACTTCTGTGACTCCAGGATCACTTTAATGTTTATTTTTGATATAAAGACAAAGTGGCAGCGGGAGAAGGGCAGGGAGAGAGGGAGACACAGAATCTCAAGCAGGCTCCAGGTTCTGAGCTGTTAGCACAGAGCAGGATGAGGGGCTCGAACTCACAAACCCCTGAGATTATGACCTGAACGAAGTCAGGGGCTTAAGTGAGCCACCCAGGCGCCCCCAGGGTCACTTTAAAGGAAAGTAAGGGTAAAGCCAATTTACATAAGCTAGACTAATGCAGACCTAAAATCCTGCTTGGGCTCACACGACTCCTGAGATAGAAACTTCTTCAATGAAATTGAGAGAACTGACCTTAGCCCTCTATCTTTAAGCAGATCAGGGCAGGTACGGGCACACATCCACTCATGCGCAAGAAGCAAAACCCACAATTCGCACCAGTCCAGCTAGAGGCGGAGCTAAAGGGGCCGGATAAGGCAAGTACGTCATGCACAGGGGCGGGACGTCCGGCTTCGGTTTCCTGGGCGACAGCTGCCGGCTGGTCCGCGCGTGGTCTAGGGGCTTTTGCAGGCATGGGGACTCCTGCAGGCCTGCAGACTGACTGCGAGGCGCTGCTCAGCCGCTTCCAGGAGACCGATAGCGTGCGCTTCGAGGACTTCACGGAGCTCTGGAGGAGCATGAAGTTCGGGACCATCTTCTGGTGGGTGTTTCTAGTCCGCTACCCTTGCATCACTCCCTGCTCAGAGGCGGAGTAGGAAGCTTTTTTCTTCCCCAAAGCGCTGCTGCTCCTGGGAAGGGCGGAGGAAGGCTGCAGCCCCTGCACGCTGCCCCCAGCTCTCCCGGGCCTTCTTCCTGGGCAGTTTCATTGGCTTCGTCTGCGTCCTTTTGCGGCCTCCCGCCGAGTATGTATTTCTGCCTGGCCACCCTTCTAAACCGTCTTCTCCATCTCCTCTGCCTCACCCTGGCCCAGGTCACCCACCATTTGCCCTCCTCCAGCCTTGTTCTCCTAAAGCCTCTTGTTTAAAAACAAAACAAACACCCAAGCAAAGACAGAACGCTGCACGACTGAATTCGTTTTTCATACAACCACAGTTGTCTTTCTAGAGTGGCAGTCCGATCCTGTCCTTCCCCTGCTTACCACTCCAGTGGTTTGTCTTGCTCCAGGCCGCCTGTGGTCCTCTTCAGGCTTTACTGGGCCTGGAGCTTTCCCCCCAGTTCCTTCTGCCAGACCACCTTTTTCTAAACTCAGATTAATCTCAAATGAACAGTGTTTCAGGGAAGCCTTCCTTTGCCCTTCTAGAGTAAGTCAGGCGTTCATACTGGGTTTTTCCCCAGAGCATTATGCTTCTTTTATGTCTCGACTTAGCACAGGTTATTTTCAGCGTGTAGTTCAAAAGGTGGTGGAGTATAGCGGTTAAGAGCAAACAGATTACAGAGCGGGACTGCCTGAATTTGAATCACAGCCCAAAGAGTAACTCTGACTTCGGGCAAATTACTTGCCTGAACTTCCATATCCATAGCATGGAGACTGGAATACCTCTTATTGCAGTCATGAGTGTTAAATGAGCTAATACGTGTTAAGGGTACCCTTCATTGCCCTGTAAATATTTATTTATTATTATTATTATTGCTTTATAGTTTTCCTTCCATTAGACAGAGCTCTGTGAGGACAGTGACTGGATAAGTTTGATATTCATTAGCATAACACACACAATATTGAAAAAGCTAAATGATTGGCTGAATGAATTCTTGTGATTAAGACTGTGTTTTCCTGAATCAGAAGTAAAAGTTCTCTTTGTTTCAATGTAATAATTACCTGTGTAGTTTGTACATTGCGGGGGATGGAGGATAGAGAGCTATTTGTTGTACAGTTAATGAAAGGAACTAATTTTTTTAATGGCTACTAAATGTAATACATTTATAGCTTAATGTATTTAATCCGTAGAACAACTTTGAAAAGCAGGTACATAATTATCCTTGTTTTATGGAAGGGGAAATTGAGGCTTAATGAGGTTAAGTAATCTCCGTGGTCACACAGCTAGTAGGTGGTAAAGCAGATATTGGAAAATATTGCGGGGGTTACCTCCATATATTTAGCTAAGGAGGAAAAAGTAAAATGAGAAAAAAAGTAGACACTACTTGAGTAGTGGTGATGTTTCTTTAGCAGTTGCTTTGGTTGCTAATACTACAGTAAGTATTTTGCATTCTTTTAGTGTATTCATTATTTGAAGATCCCAGGCTTTGGGAGTATAGTGAAGTCTGCTTTTCTACCCTGCTCCTTCTTTACTTTGGTGAGCTTTGTCCTGCAGAATTGGGAGGAGGGTGTGGGTTATGTTGTATTGTGGTTCTTTAACTTTTTCACCTAGGTGTCTCAAGGACTAATGAGGTGTAGAGTATATCCCTGAGAGTATTGGGGAAAATCTCCGTTGTATATTAGAAGGCATATAACTTTTGTATTTTATTCTGTAATATAACCATGGTTATTTTAATTTTTAAAAATGTTTTAAATTCTTAACCAGGAATAATTTGTAGCCCCTCCCCCTTTGCTCCCCTATTCAGCAAGTAAAGTTGATGCCTTAGGAAGATGCATCCTGTTTACCGAGTGCATGCCTATTCCTCAGTGTAAGAAGCACAGCAGAAAAGTAAGTTTTTGTGCTTGGATTGTGAAAGGATCAGATGTGGAATGCCCATCCAGTTTCTAGTAGCTGCTAGAATATACCTCTTCTAATTCGTGTTCATTACTGGTTTACTTAGAGTCATAATATATTTTCTCTTTGTTTTCTAGTGGTAGAATGAGAAATTTAGAAAAGAACATGTTCACAAAAGAAGCATTAGCTTTGGCTTGGCAATATTTTTTACCGCCCTACACCTTCCAGATCAGAGTTGGTGCTTTGTATCTGCTATATGGATTATATAACACCCAGCTGTGTCAACCAAAACAAAAGGTAATACTTGTTGTTTTCCCTCAGCAGAAATAGGAAACAGGTACAATATTTTTACAACAAACTGATTTAAACAGGAATGCCAATGTTTCAAAATTAAAATACATTAATGAAAAAGATATACCTTTAGTAACTTTTTTACTCTCTTGTTTGTAGATTAGAGTTGCCCTGAAAGATTGGGATGAAGTCTTAAAATTTCAGCAAGATTTGATAAATGCACAACATTTTGATGCAGCTTATATCTTTAGGAAACTGCGACTAGACAAAGCATTTCACTTTACAGCAATGCCCAAATTGGTATGTTATCTAAAATAGATTGTTTTTCAAAATGAGAAATTATACTTCATTGTTCATAAAGTACCTCAGTCTCCATAAAGTAGAAAGAATATTATATAATTTCCAATACAATTAGAACAGTAGGAGAAAATAGGAGAAAATGCTTTCTGATTACTTTTTTTTGCAAACAAAAATTTAGTCTCTGCTTTTAAATACAGTGTGTTTCTAGATGCCATCTGTTAAGCAAATTGTTAGAATAGGAAATGAGATTTGGCATTTGCCATTTGTTTATTCCTTTATTCAGATCAGAGAGGTTACTGAAAGAAGACCAAGGAATTTTAAAGTCAGTTGGTGAAGAACTGAAATGTCCACTAATAAAATATGTTTCTTCAGTCTTATGACACTTGAGATATTAGATTAAAAGAGCACCAGGTCCTAATTCTGGATCTGACATCAGCTGGCCAATCATGTAACTTCTCTATCATTTGAATTTATAATCATGTGGCATGACATCTTAAAGGCTATTTTATTTTATTATTTTTTTAAATACTTTATTTTATCTATCTATCTATCTATCTGTCTATCAAAGAGGGCACAAGTGAATGAGGGGCAGAGAGAGAGGGAGAGAGAAAGAATCCCACACAGGCTCCATACTGTCAGCCTGGCCAAATTGGGCTCGAGCTCCCCTGAAGTGGGGCTCAAGCTCACCTGGTTTGGGGCTCAAACTCATGACCTGTGAGATCATGACCTGAGCTGAAGTTGGATGCTTAACCGACTGAACCACCCAGGTGCCCCTTAAAGGTTATTTTAAAAGTCTGATAGTCTTTGGAAAATGGATTATCTAAAAAAATGTCCTTTAAAAGACATTCATTATCACACAGCTATCATATAGAATGAAGAAGAAAATTCAACGAGCTGAAGTTACAGAAGAATTTAAGGACCCAAATGATCGTGTAATGAAACTTATCACTTCTGATGTGTTAGAGGTAAATTTGTTTTTTATGCTCTTGAAATTAAAAAAAAAAATGTTTTATTGTTAACTATATACAGAAGTTACACCTTCATCTAGGGATACTGAAATTTTTTCTAATGATTTTAACCAATCATAGAATGCTTATTTCTCTAAAGTATCAGATGTAATACACTCTAAATATATGAAAATTTATGGAATAAATCTTGAAACTCTGTGAGAAGCAAAAAATATAGAAGACTGCCCTTGGACTTGGGATGTTTAGATTCAAATACTGAAGCCACCATTTATGTTTGATTTTAAATAGGTCATAAAACAAGAATTTAAAGTGACTTAATTTTTATTTTTTAACACTATGTATTTATTTCTTAAGTTGCTTTTTATAATGCTTATTTTAAAAGCCACTGAAAACAATAAAGCTGTTCTGATAAAACAAAAATATGAAATCAAGATTTATGGATAAGAGGCATAGTCTTAAAGCAGCTTTACCATCTAATGTGTTTTGGTATTTTATTTGAGTTGTCAGTATTGAGAAAAATCATCTTTCACATGAATAAGTAGTGAGACTCTCAGAATTTTACATGCATGGAATAGCACTGCCCTGAGGTTGAAACAAAACCCATTTTTGGTTGTGGACTGATATGGTGGTAGAAAGTTAATTTTTTGTCAACATACCTTCTTAAACATGGTTTTTGATTTTACGTTCTTTTAAGAATTAAAGGTTCTGAAAGTGTTGAAATACAGGTTCCTTTGTTTGAAAATATTGTCTGTGTCAGCAAACAGGTATGGAAGATTTTATATTTTATGTTTTTAAGTTAATTTTTATTTTGAGAGAGAGAACGAGCAGGGTAAGGGCAGAGAGAGAGGGAAGGAGAGAATCCCAAGCCAGTGCCACACTCAGCATGGAGCCCGATGTGGGGCTCGATCTCATGACCATGAGAACATGACCTGAGCTGAAATCAAGAATTGGATGCTTAACCGACTGAGCCACCCAGGTGCCCCTGACAGATTTTAGAGAACAGAGCTGGGGTGAACAAAGGCATATCCTTTTAGGGTGATCAGGGAGAAGGGTCCAAAGGGCCAAGCTATGGAATGCCTATTCCTAGAAGCTTCTATGTGAAGTCATCGTGATTTTTTGTAGGGTCTTTCACTTACCACAGACCTGCTTTAAGAGCCTTTTCCCTCTGTTGACTCTGTTCACCCTGTCCGTGTGCAGTCTTTCACCTGTTCTCATAATAATCCTTACATTTAATACTTCCCTACGTTGCTTCTCCTGCCTGCAAATGCTATTAAGCCTACATGTCAGCAGACCTGAATTTGGGTCATGATTCAGCTACTCATTAGTTCTAGCTTTGTGGTTAAGGATGCATAATAAAATGAAGAGACTAGGATATTGAATCAGAACTTCTGATTTTTGTTGAGTCACGGTGTTGTATACCTAAAACTAATATAACACTGTTTACTATACTGGAATTAAAAAAAAAAGTATATGGGGAAAAAGAAACTTTTGATTTTGAATTATAACTCTATTACTTAAATAGGACCTTAAGCCAGTCATTTCTTTGTTTCTTTACTTCTACAATTATAATACAGTAGTGGCTATCATGTGTTGTGTGTTCAGCACGTGCCAGGAACTGTTGGGTGTTTTATGTCTGTTATCCCGCTAATGATCATAGTAACCCTGCAAAGGAGGTGGTATTTTCCTGATTTCAAAAACAAGGAAACTGAGGTTCAGAGAAAGTAAGTAATTTGCATAAAGTAGGGTACAGTAAGGTACAGACACTGGATTTGAATGTCCAAGCCTATAAGGCTCCAAAGTGCATGTACTTTCTTTTATTTCTTAATCCTTTAACTTTGTATGTTGCTTTACATTTTATAGAACATTCCCACTTGTATAAGCTCACTTAATATAGTTTACAGTGGGCTAGATGGCATCACTTAATTTTGTACAAATGTGGAATGTGATTCTCAGATTGAGGGATTTGCTCAAGGTCACAGTCTAGCAAATGACAGAACTCAGCCTCAAAACCGGATCCAGCTAGTGGTCTTTCCTCTGTATTTTATTGCATGTAGTAAAATAATGGAATTCAGCACACTGCAAGCTGTACAAAGTTAGGGGCTCCCCATGTCTGGACAGTGTTCTCCTTTGAAGGTCCTGCATGAGTGAGCACTCAGCACTGCCCAGCAGCTCGTGATTGTTTGAACAGATCCCTGTCAATGCCATCAAAACCTACTGGAAATGAATTGAGTAGCCTAACTTGGGGATGACTCGGGTGTTGCAGTGGTCATCTGTGATGGGAGTGTCAGTCGTTCTCTGCTGCTCTTTGAGCCAAGTCTCAATACTGGCTTTATCTGATTTCTGAAGTCTACCTGTAATGTGCTGTCTTTCCCTTACCCCATAGACCTGCCCAACTGGCTGGAGGTTTCTGGGGAAGAAGGTCTAAGTGATGCCTCAAATGTTGTCAAAAATTGCCTTCTATTTCTTTTAATCGTGGATCTTACTAGTGAAGTAATGATGGAGCTTATGGGGACAGGCACAGAGGCTTTGAGGTTTGTGAAGATTAGTGGATCTCTGTGGAGACCATTAATAAAGTTGTACTATTTGGGTTGTATGATTATATTGTTTTCAATATACTGTAGCTTATTATTCTTTATCAACTTAGTCACTTGGGAGTGTCATTTTATTTTGTGTTGGTTTTGCCTTTAAGTTTCTCCTCAAAAATTGAACTGAAAGATTCATCTTTTCACTTTTAGGAAATGCTGAATGTTCATGATCATTATCAGAACATGAAACATATAATTTCAGGTGATAAATCCAATCCAGACAAAGCCCTCAGCTTGATAAAGGATGATTTTTTTGACAATATTAAGAACATAGTTTTAGAGCATCAGCAGTGGCACAAAGACAGAAAGGTATGTGACTGCTTGTTTAATATATCACTGTTGTATTTGCATTCTACACTAATGGCTAGACAGGGATGATGAGGTTGAGAGGCAGTTTAGTTGAGTGGCTACATTCTCCTGGAGTTAAGATTTCGAGAGCTTTACTTTTCTAGGTCTGGCTTTGCCAGTTATCAGCTATGTAATGCTATTTAACCTTACAAACAGATTTTGTATGTCATTATATATATATTCACACAATTATTAATAATAATTCTATAATATGTATTAAATAACATACATTATATATAATATCTATCTAACTTTAGAGGAATAAGTAATCTTGGTATACCATAGATTTATTCCAATCTTTATAATTTAGCATTTTCTAGAGGTTGCACACTGGCGGTCTTTGGGCCAAATCCTACACACACGTGTGGTTTGTTTGACACAGTGTTGATCCTAAAATTGTTTTAAAATGTCAAAATAATTACTGGCACTTAAATATTTGTGGACTTCAGTTAAAATTCCAGACATCTAGCTTCTGTTAAAAATCAGTGGTTTGTAATAGTGGTCCCACTTTTGTGCATGGCAACAGACTGCTAGACCTGAGTGGTGGCTTCTTCCATTGTGAGAAGGCATGCTCTGCCTGCCTCGATTTATCCATTTACAGATCTCATCAGCACAGTTTAGTTTTACACAGTTTTACAGATTTTCAGTTTAGTTTTCTGATCCAGATACTGACGCTGGAGCTGCCCACATTCCACAGTAACCTTTTCACCTAGAGAAACTTTTTACCCTGGAAACCTCATGGCCAGCCTTGCTGAATTTAGCTTTGAAATCACCACTCCATCTTATTTTAGTAAATACTTTTAGGAAAAAATAAAAGTAAAACATAAGCAATTTCTGATGACTTATTATGTGTCTGATAATGTATTAGTGTTTTCATAAGTGCTAGATGGGAATTATTATTTTATATATTGTCTTTCAGAAAGATTGGTTGCCAGTTTTTGGCTTTTCATTATATAAAGGGATTTGGTTCAAAACTTAATTTTAGAAAAGATAAACAAAGAAAGTGATGATGACAGTCTTGAGAAGAAGGAAACAGTTTGCTTCCTCTACCCACATTTATTTTAATGAGAGACAGCACAGTTTAGAATGTTTGAATACTTCAAGTGTTACAAATGGGTTACACAAATGACCTAGGCAATCAATGTAAAAATCTATCGGAGTACTCTCTTATTGCCCTTTTTTTATACTACTTTTTTTTATAGCACCCTCTTTGAGTAAACTCTCTAGTTAGCATTACTAAGACCTCTGAATACCTGAAGGAAAGGAGAATAAACCAATTTTCTTACTACTATGTGAAATGCATGTTTTCCTTCCTTAGTTAGGAGGATTTAGGCATTTTATTGATGATTTTTAGAACTATTCTGAAACCTAACCTTGACCTTAACTTAATGTCAGGTGGTGGACCGTGCAGTAATAAGGTGAAATGATCTTTTAGTTTTGCAGTAATTAAAAAAATAAATGATTCTCATTGCTCTGAAATTATTTGCAATTGATTTTTAGTTAATTTGAATTGTAAATGTGTATATATAACTTTTGTGCTCTTCCAGAATCCATCCTTAAAATCAAAAGTTAAAGATGGAGAAGAAAAGAGAGAAGGAAATTCACAAGAATCAGAGGTCAGAGAAATTCACTATCTGATTGCAGGGCAATAGTTTGGTTAGTTTATTTTCATTTTCTGTGTGGTTCTGTATACAAGTATTATGTATACAAGTGATTCTGTGTACAGGTATTATGACCCTTGGTATTAAAATAATTATCTCAGACAATCCTGAAACATCAGCTCTATGAAAAGTTAGTCTGTTTTTTCCTGGAAACCTTGTGGAAGACCACAACAAGTGTAAATTGGGAGTGAGGATGTTAAGAGTTTTTGCAGGGAAAGGGGAGAATGATGGTGGAAGGTGCTCTTAGTCCTTACACAGGCAGAGTAGGGTTTTTGAAATATGTCTTTTCTTCCTGTCCTACTTTCAGCCAGTGTGGAGCTCTAGCTACTGTTTATTGCTTCCTGCCTCCAGGGTTTTCATCCATCTTCGTGGATGAGACAGGAGTCATTTTGGGGCATAGGCAGAAGAGGAGGCAGATGAGGAGGGAGTGGCCTGATCACCAAGGCTTTCATTCATATAATCTTCCTTAAATCCTGAATTTCAACAGTCAGAAGCTATGGAGATGGTATTGTGGACCTGCTATGAGAATGTTGTGTGTGTTTATATGTCTTTGGTCAATATGTGTCCAAAAAATGTTAATTTCTTTTTACCGTACCTTCTATCTCCAGTCTTCTTTCTGATACCAAGTACCTGGGTATTCATAATTTCTTTTAATGTTTATGTGTTTTAACTTTTTCACCTTCCTGTTTATTTCTTATCCAGAGATGTGAAAGGGCAGAATCCTTAGCGAGAATAAAATCAAAGGCCTTTTCAGTTGTTGTTCAGGTAAGTTCTTTCTTTCTTTCTTTTTTTTGTTTTTAATTTTAACATTTATTTTTTTATTTTTTCAGTATATGAAATTTATTGTCAAATTGGTTT